TGCACCAACTCATGTTCTAACAAGTAAGAGTATGAGAATCTCTTGTCATCTTACACCCTGACTATATCTTGGTATTTCTTCTTTATTCCCCCTTCCTAGATGGTGGCCTGCAATTGTGACTTTGATTTGTATTTTTGGTATGTGCTTATTATTATTTTCTAGGCTAGTCCTACTATAGTTCTAAAATTATCTCTCCATGCTTTTAATATTTTGAAATGTAGAGGCTCTATTGTCTGAAATGTAGTTGATTTTGGGTGCTATGTTAGATGTGTGTTAATTAAGACTGGTTTATTTCTTCAGAATTTTCTATATCCTTGACAATGTCTACCTCTTATCAGCTATTGAGGGAGATGTGTTGAATTCTCATTATATTGAATTTTATATACATACATATATATATATATATAATTGGTCTAGTTTTCTTTTTAGTTGTATTAATCTTGCTCTGATTTTAATAAATTTGTATTTTTTAGGTAAATAAGTTTAGAATTGTGTTACATACATGTGGAATTGTTCAGTTTATCATTATGATAATGGGTCTCTGTTTCCAGTATATCTTGCCTTAAATTTTTGAAATGAAATTTTTGTGAACATCGAACAGTAAGTTTTAATACACTCTAACAGTGTTAATATGTTGGTGGAACATTAAGCTCTTTACATTTAATAGAATTACTGAATTTATTACTTTGATAGTGTACATTATTTTAACATAATTTTAGGTGTTACCCTAGAGGTATTAGCATGCATCTTTGACTTATCAGTATAGAATGCAAGTTACTGGTTTTATCACTTTTTGATTCAGCTAAAATTCAAGAAAAATTTTACATTTTATTCTTTCCAGCTTTAGCATTGTTTCTTTTTAAAATTGTCCCTATGGATTTTAGTTGTACATATGTTAGATACCACACATGACATTACAATTATTATTTTGTGCCATCAATATTCATTTTTCGTTTGCTATGCTCTTATCCTTTTGGTGTTTTTATTCCCTTTATGTTTCCTTGTTTTTATACAGAAATATTTTCCTTATACTGAACATTCCTTTGTATTTCTTTTGTCCCACACTGCTGATGACAAATTTACTGTCACTACTTATCTGAAAAATAAATTTACAATTGATTTTTGTGGTTACATTTTTCTAGGTAGCCATACCAGACTGACTACTGTTTTCTTTCATCACTTTGAAGATTTTTTCATTGTTTTCTATCTCTCACCATTTTTGTCAAGAATTATGGTATTTTTTTTCTCTACATTTAATTTTTTTTTGTAATTGGTTTCTAGAAATTCATCTGTAATATGGTTTTCTTCGCATTTATTTTGCTTAGGTTTCTTGGGTGTTGTTGAATCTGTGGGTTGATGCCTTTCAGTAGTTTCAGTAAATTCTCAAATGGTACAGCTTCAGAAAATGCTTTTGCTCTCTCATAGAATTTTAATTATACATGCCTTGATATTTATCTATTCTTTATCTAATATTTAAAATTTTCTTCTTGCACTTCAATTTTTATTTTTTGTACTAGCTTATGTATCAATTTGTTAATCATTTATTGTACTATGTCCAATCTGTTCTTAAGCTCAACTATCCTTAAATTCAGATAATGTGTTATTTTTAACTGAAGTGAAATTGGTTCATACTATTGTATAGGTTTTACATGCATAGATTTATATATGAATATCTGTTTATATGAAATTATCCTCATCACAAAAGTTCTTTTCCATCCATCACCATAAAATTAATTCCTTTAACCAAATTTACACACCACGGTTTTCCTTTCCTTCTGATAAGTGCTATTTTGTTCTTGTTTTCTAAGATTTTTTTTGTTGTATTTTTTCATTTTTTTGTTTCTTTACTACATGTGAGTGAAGTCATACAATATTTGTATTTCTCCACCTGACTGACTTCAACTATTATAACCTCCAATCGTTCCTTCCATGCTGCTGCAAATGGTAGGATTTCATGTTTTTTAATAGCTGAGTATTATCCCATTCTATAGTTATAAAAACCATTGTATAAAAGAATATCTGGTATAATTTTAGAATGTTACATTTTTAGTCTACTTAAAAAATGGTAAAATTTACTCACGGTTCATGTATCATATTCCCTGATTTTCTCAATATTACTGCTTATTTTATAGCCCCCATCTGTTTATTACCTACTTCAGAAGTTGGAAAACTTGTTCTGGAAAGGACCAGGCAGTAAAAACTTTAGACTTATTGGCTATATGATCTCCTTTTATTATTCACACAACCACTGAAGCAGCACAGCAGCCGTAGACAATACATTATCAAAGGAATGTAGCTGTGCTCCAAAAAAATTGTATTTACAAAAAACAGGCATTAGGGTAATACTTGGCCACATGCCATCATTTGTCAACCCCTGATCTCCTTCATCTTTGGTTTCTATTATCTTATATTTGACTCAATAGTCAAATAGTCTTGACTTTTTATATGTCTAATATTTGTTAGATATACCAGGCATTGTGAATGAAAGAAAGGTAAAGGTCTCCTATAATTATATGATTTATCAGGATCTGATTGCCTCATTTCAACCAAATTTTGAGCTGCACTGAAATGGTTTGATTTTAGTTTTAAAGCTACTCACTCTAGGTCTGGTTCCTAAAGAATTATTATACCATAATTTTTAATGTAAGTTTTGTGGATATTTGCTTCCTTGGCCTTGAAGACTGCACAGATTCATTACTCACCTTCAGGGGTTTATAGCTTATCTCTTTAGCCTCCTACCTCAAAACAGCTTCAAAATTTGGAAATGTCTTAAGAAGCAGAGATGCTTCTTACAGAGTAGTGCTTGAAGTATGCTCTTTTGTTTGGAAAATAATTTTCCCCTACGTAAAATGGTACAAGGATCATTTCATTCTGTCTTTTAAAACTGGCAAACTTTTATACTGGCAACCTTTTATACCCTCCCTCCATAGAGCCCCAACATTCAGCAAATATACCACACACCGATATCTTTAAAAGTATGATTTTTCAAATATTTACCCATGTTTGTAAAACAAACATGTATCTCTGTGTTAGATTTTTTATTCTCTGAGTTGATTCCTATCATTGGAATTTATGAGTCAACTTCTATGACTCTTACATGTAAATGAGTATTGGAAATTTTTATTTAGTAAACTCTGCTAAGTTGGCATAGCATATAAACTAATCTTTATGTAAAGCTAACATAAAAAGCTGAAGATAGCACACTGTTCAATTGTTAATTCAAGCAGTCTTATTTATCAAATAACTATACCAAGCACTGAACTAAGTTGGAAGTATCTTGATGAACAGACTTGATAGGAATCCTAACTTCATGAAGTTTAAGTTCTGACGTGATAGAGAAAATATTTTCTTCCCCCTATCTTTTGCCTATTTTAATATGTGAACCTCTTTTTTTTTTCTTACTTTGCTATTAGAGTCTTCATCTCTTTAAGTAACTCATGACTTATGTGAAGTCTTTGCAAATTATTATTTATCCACTCTGTTGAGATTGCATTTAGAAAGGTCTTCTGTATGCTAAGATTTTAAAAGCCAGTTCTTTTCTTTATTCCTGGAACTTTTAGGTTTAAGTTTTATATTTAAATACTTAGGCATAATTATGATAATTATCCAGAGTTCTCTCCCCACCCAAATGGCTAACTAGTTATCCTAAAATAATGTATTAATTGTGCTTTTTTAACTCAATAAGTTGAAATGCCCTTTTTACTGCCATACACTAAATTCTAATATTTATTAAGGCACTAATAAAACCTTTTTGTTTGTCTATTTTTTCATATTAATACCTAGAATCAATTTCTCTTTTGCCCAAGTTATTAAAAAAAATTGCAGTTGTTTAATGGTACTGTATTTTGATTCAGAATGTTTAATATAAAGATAAGAATAGGGAGATACAATATTCCAATGGCTGAATTTTTTTCAGGTGAGTTTGGGGTGATAACATTACTAAGAAAATGGAGGCATAAAAACATGAATAAGACTAAAAACTTGAGATAAGACTAGAAAAGAATGTAAAGCTTATAGAGTTAAGAATCTTTATGGCTATTTGTTAGAGAACTTGATTTTGGCTACCAGAACCAACTCTGCCACATCTTAGTGATCTAATAGCAACACTACAAAAATCTTTAATGCTTTTCACCCATGAAAAGTCCATTATAGGTTAGATAGTATTTCTAAAGGATTCTATATTGATTGTTGGGCTTGGCAATCTAACCTCTTCCATCTTCTGACTGCTATCTGACTCTGCTCCATTTTGGTGAAAAGAATATGGAGGGATATTTGAAATATTTTAGCAGTCAGATTAGAAGACACAGATTAGATCTATGTCCCTCAATGAGTTATTAGAAAATATGAAATAAAGACATAAACAAGTACATTTTTAAAATTTTAGATTCAGCAGACATAGTTACCTTGTCAAATTGTGATAAAACTTAAAAATTCCTACTCTTACTTTCTACATTTATATCATTTTGAATCAGTACAAAACAATTCATAGACTGGCGATGTTCCACAGACATCAATGGCATCCACTCACTCCACTGGCCCATTTACCATCCTCTGGAACACAATGACATCATTTCAACCTAACAGCAAGAGATTGGGGGAAAAAATTGTACTACAAAAAGGGAAATAGATTGGTGGCTATCTAGTCAATATCTGTCACAGAGTTGCAATTAATTTGAATTGCATTTATTGCATGAATTGCTTAATGCCCTTTGTTGACAAACTGTTGCCTGAATAGTATTAACTCAAGGCCTTAGCATGATAAATGTATTCACGATATGCTATTTACATAAGCTCTTGGTTATTTTTCTGATTAAAGCATTTGATATCCTATACTTTAAGTACTTTATACAGATCTAACTCTCCCACTAAACTATGTAAAATCCCTCACTCTTACATATCAACTAATAGTGCAGTATCCAGCACACAGTCTACTTTCAATAAACATTTTTTAAGAGGAATTAATTCACATATTTATAATAATGTTATTTGACTTACTTTAGAAGGATCTTTCTACTATCAAATTGGAGGAAGACTTGACAAGGAAGTTGAAAATAACAGAAGTAAGACTATCACTTAGGAAGTAATTTTTAGTAATCTCACTTAGAGATATTTCAGGGTCTCAACTGGAAAAAAAAAACAACAAAGCAGGAGATGAAGGTATGGAGTTAGGGAAAACAAGAGTTTTTAATGTTTCAGTAATTCACTGATTGGTGACATAGAATGAAGGATGAAACTCAGGTTCCTAGTTTGTAGGATTAGTTGCATTTGATAACATTGATATAAAGGAACACAGGAGGCTGTGTGGGTTTGAGTGGAAAAGTAGAATAATGTGCTCTGTTTGGATCATGCTGAGCTTGAGATACCTGCAAAATAATGTACTGTAGTTTCTGTGATCTTCATGTTGTGAAGTCTGTGTGGTTCTTTGTAAGCCAAAGGGAAGGACTATTATCATAATGACTTGTAATATATTTCCTCCACTTCAGTATGAAAAGCCTCCTCAAATTTTAAAATAACTACAGAAAAAGGAGAAATTCTAACTCTAGAATTGGGGCATACTCTGTTGTCCTTTTGAATGGTGAAGATAAGCAAGGAAAGGGTTAAGAGAAAGTATGATGTGTTAAGAATACTATAAGGTTTCAGGCTGCTTTTCAACCCTCTAGTTGTCATTAGAATTGGGTGGTGAGTTTTACTCCCCAGTTCCCTTGTTTTTGGTGACCACTCTTCAGAGTTGCCTTCCCTAAAATCACCATATCTATCTCCAACCACTCCCACTCGCCATATTTCCTACACTCCCACCCTTATTCCCGTCCTGAATGGAAAGTGATCATTCCTTCCTCTCCATTCCTACAGCTCTTTGTTAGCATATTATTTTATTTTGCAATCTAGCTATTTATGTACTTGTCTGGATCCAAGTTTTTTGATAAATCTATATTGTCTTTTTAAAATGTGAGGCCACTCTTTAACTATGTACACACTGCCATTCTATTGGAATTTCCAAAAAAAATAAAATATGTTGTACTCAATGATTGTATTCTGATTTCACCTCCATCACTCAGGTCTTTATTGTGAGAGGTCCAAAAAGAAAAGATTTTGGGTTGCATTCTGGGCACCATTCAGGTAGAGGACAGGTCTTAGAGTACTAGTGCACTTAGTGCCTCAACTCCCCTTGAAGGCACCTCTCATAAAGCAAACAATCTCTGTCGCTTACACAATTTTTTTTTTTTTCACAGCAGGAGGAACATTTTATCCAATTCCTAAGTTTTGAAAAAGACAGTTTTGTCTGAATGGTTCATCCTCAACTGCTCACTGCTTTTTATTTTTTTGTTCCCAGCTCTCAGATTGGCCTGGTCACAGAGAAAGTCACTCTGGTTATTTTCCAGCCATGAAGTCAGTTAACCAAGTTAGGCTCTTCGACCTCCTGCTGGGTAGGTCTGATATCCTACATGATGTCAGGGTTGGGAAGGTAAAATGGATTCATTTGGTGAGGGAATATTTGCGAGCCCAATTAACCACCGTCCAAAGGCCACATTTTCTAATAGCTTCATTAGAAATGAGATTATCATTTTGATAGTCAAACTTTGGATTTACACTGATATCAAAGTCAGAAGAGCCACTGTGGTGGCAGATTTCTAACTTAGTCTCTGCACTCATTCCCCTTATATACAGGCCTTGCAACATCCCCGGGACTGTGATATGAAGGATTTCATCCCCATAATTAGGTTATGGTACATGGAAGTTTACCTTAGATGAGATTACCTGTTCTAGTAGGATTGGATCACATGTGCCATTTAAAAACTAAGAATTTTCTTTGACTGATAGCAAAAAAAGGAAGCCACAGACTCAAAACCCAACAGGGATTATGTGTTCATTTCTAGATTGAAGATGCAAGGAACCATGTGTCAAGGAATGTAGGTAGCATCCAGGGATTGAGTGCAAACTCCGGTTGGCAACTAGCAAGCACCAGGGTCACTGTCCCATAACTGTAAGGCAATGAGTTATGCCAACAAAAGAAATAGCTCAGAAGGGGATTTTCTCTGAAAGCATGCACATGAATACTCAGCCTAACTGATATTTGATTTGAATCTGCTACTGTAAGCATACTCAAGATATGAGTCATGCTATGTCAAACTTCTGATGCAAAAACTATGAGCTAACAAATGAGTGTTAGGTTAAGCTGCTAATTTATATATGTATAGTCTTTAAAAATTAAGAAATACTCTACAAAAAGAAGGTTCTGGGATAATAAGAGAGACACACACACACACGTTCTCATCATTTTGCATTGTATTCTTTGTTTTCTGAATATTCTCAGATTTCTCTGTGTTTTTTTTTGCCTTTCACTTCAGAGATTTTGGGGATTTAGAAGGATTCTACAAATCATTTTCTATAAATTTTGACCTAATTTTGACCAAAATTTAGAAATGAGATATAGGAGACAGATGAATGAAGAGCAAAGTGACATTTAGAATGTTGATAAAAATAACAGCACTGAACATCTTCATTTATAGGCCTTTGTGAGAGAAGAAACAAAGTCTCTTGTTATACAGAGGTATAAAATATGGAAATTAGACATTAAGCGCACACCTTTCTTTCTAGGATGTCTCCCTACATCTGCAAGCCACATGATGGGAGGCCCCTGACTAATTTCCCTCCTAAAAGAAGTTTTTTCAAATATCTGATCTTCTCAGGCTGCCCATTTTTTTTTTTTTTAAGATTTATTGATTTATTTATACAAGCACTGGGTACAGTCAGAAGCGCGGGAGGGTGAGAGAATTCGCCAGAGCCAGAGGGGGGAACAGAACAGGAAGACTGATGAAATACACTCCTGAGGGGAGCAGTGGGTGGCAGGAGAGGTCTGAGCACCATGTGGGACCCTCACCTGGCAGCTGGGCATCGAACTGGCGCTGCAGAGGCTGAGGGCAGCTTCGCAGCCCAGCGCTCAACCGCTGAGCCACCAGGGGAGGCCCCATGGCTGCCCATTCTTAGGAGCACAGCACCACAATGCCATTGAACCTGACATCATAAGGGTGGTGATTGGCTATTAATGAACTTCACGTCATGGTGATAAGACAGGCCAGACTTTAGTAACCTTCTAATTGTCATATCAGTTTTTTCAGTTCAATAAATCATCCAACACTTTCTACCAGTTTTTCTCTTTAAAGACAGATCTAGCCTGACTTTTAAGAGCTGTCTAGTATCCAAACATTTATTTTTGGGGTCCTATCTGCTATTAATTCGTACTCTGAAATACCCCACTACTGGCTGAGATTTGGGGTATCTCCCATCTGCTAGTCAGCTATCCCTATTTATTCTACAATGTGTAAAATTGTGCTGTGCTTGTTTTTTCACTTTTTGTTTCTTAAAAACTCCATTTACTTTTTTGATTACTGAGTAATATTCCATGGTGTATATGGACCACATCTTCTTGATCCAGTCATCTATTTTTGGGCATTTGGGTTGTTTCCATAGCTTAGCTATTGTAAAAAGTGCTGCTGTAAACATAGGGGTGCAGGTGCCCTTTGGAATTACTGTTTCTGTGTCATATTACTCAGCAATCAAAAAAGATAAACACATGCAGTTTGCAGCAACATGGATGGAGCTGGAAGGGATCATGCTCAGCGAAAATAAGCCAGAAAGAAAAAGAAAAATACCGGATGGTCTCACTCATAGCAGGAATCTAGAAAACCTAAATAAGAGACCAGGAAAAAGACTAATCAATACAAAGTAAAAATCAAAATCAACAAGCAACTATAAACCAGAGACACACTACAGTTGGGGAGGGGGAGGGGAAAGGAAGGACTAGAGTCAAAATAAGGGGGGGTGCAATTGTATGGGGAATATAACCAAAATGAAAATGCATACATTGTGCAAAGATGTAAAAAAGAATTATATAAAATATTTTTTTCTAGGTGTCAGATTTTTATTGATTTTTATTAGGAAGACTTGTGGAAGGGGCGGGCAGGAGGAGGGGCGGGCAGGGAGGAGGGGCGGGGCAGGGGAGGGGGGGGCAGGGGAGGGGGCGGGGCAGGGGAGGGGCGGGGAGGAGGGGGGGGGGCAGGGAGGAGGGGGGCAGGGCGGGGCAGGGGAGGGGCGGGCAGGGAGGGGGGCGGGCCAGGAAGATCTGAAGCACAGAGCATAGCAGAGCAGCAGGCACAGAGAGAAGAGACCTTCTGCTGCACCACATGCGCTCTAGCTCCATGCCCCCTTCTGGGGGCTAACTCCCACGCTCCTTGCGGGTAGCTCCCTGGCCGGGGCTTGAACTCAGGCCGCAGCGGTGAGAGCGCTGAGGCTAACCCCTAGGCCATCCTGGAGGCCCCGCGAGAGGCTTAGTTAAATGGAGCCTTTAACCTTTATTAGGAGTCTTCAGGAGAACTACTGACAGCTGCTCCTCCAGCAAGTCAGAAGAGACTACGGCTGCCCTTCCCTTCCCTCAGTGATCATCACTGTCTCCTCCTAGGGCCCCTGGGCGCTGAGGGAAGATGGCTTTCAGCAGCACCTCCATGTCTTCATCGGTGACAAGAGGGGGCAAATTATGGGGATTTTTCAAGTCTAAAGTATTTTTCATTGATGAATCAGAAGAAAAACCTACACAGTTCAGAAAGTAATCAGGATTGTACTGATCCTGCAGGATTTACTTTGGTGATGATCGTGTGTAAAATCAATATTTAGAAGTTTCTAGAGATTTAAGTATGCAGACTTCTGATGTCCTCATAGAATAATGAATGCTCTTAGCCAGCTGAAGAGACTCAAAAAAACAAAGTAAATAATCCAGTCACAAAATGGGCAGAAGAGATAAAAAGGAACTTCTCCAAAGAGGAAATGCAAATGGCCAACAGGCATATGAAAAAATGTTCAGCATCACTTGCAATCAGGGAAATGCAAATCAAAACTACCATGAGATACCACCTTACACCAGTGAGAATGGCACATATTAAAAAAACTAGCAACAACAAATGATGGCGAGGATGTGGAGAAAAAGGAACTCTCCTGCACTGCTGGTGGGAGTGCAAACTGGTCCAACCACTATGGAGAGCTGTGTGGAGATTTCCGGACCTACTAAACATAGAGCTTCCATAGGATCCAGCAATTCCACTCCTAGGTATTTACCCAAAGGACACAGAAACATCAATTCCAAAGAGCACCTGCACCCCTATGTTTATAGCAGCACTGTTTACAATAGCTAAGCTTTGGAAACAACCCAAATGCCCAAAAATAGATGACTGGATCAAGAAGATGTGGTCCATATACACCATGGAATATCACTCAGCATTCAAAAAAGACAAACTCATGCCATTTGCAGCAACATGGATGGAGCAGGAAGGGATCATGCTCAGCGAAATAAGCCAGAAAGAAGACAAAAAACACTGGATGGTCTCACTCATAGCAGGAATTTAGAAACCAGCAAAGCACCTGTAGTCCATGACCTTAGTCTATCCTTTGCACTTGTTTTCTTCACGTTGTATAGAAGAAATGGATTAAGTAGAAGAAGCCATACATTTCTGGGCATTAAAGAATCGTTTGTGTGGTTGTTCAGAATCATCTTGGAAGGTGCAGTGATTTATCTCTCCATATCCTCCAGATATTTCTTAGCTCATAAGTGTCTTCTAGTACCACCGTCTCTTCTCCCATCAGTATACACTCTGTTTGCCTTCCTTGCTCCTAGAAGCTGCCCAAGGACATATGACAATATTCTAAGAGCTTTCCAGGCCCTCCATGGATGGCAGTGGTTTCATATCACGCTTAAACAATCTCCTGAGGTTGTGACCAGAGATTCGTCCATTGTCGCTGCTCTCACAGACGCGCCAGGGCTCGGGAGCGGCGCTGGGGTCCAGCACAGAGGACGGAGGCAGCTGCCGGGGTCCGGGAGTCTCCTGGCCAGAGCCCGCCACACGCTGCCTCGGGGCGCCCCTATATAAAATATTTAAATAAAAAAATTAAAAAACAAAAAACACCAAAAAAACAAACAAACAAAAAACTCCATTTACTATGACTGTGTTGGCATTTCAGGACAGAGGTAAGGTAAATGCATTTGTGCAGTCTACCATGATGATCCACATGCTTGACCTGTGCTTTGAGAGAGCAAAGAGACTTCAGACTATCTGTCCCCAATCATGGGGAGCTGGGACCCTCTTAGAGCTCCATCCTGCAAGGGCACACGCGTGGGAAGCATGTTCGCTCTGTCTGCCCGCAGACCATTGTTTGCTTCCTAACAAAATGACGGGCCTTCTACTAACATACCACAAATTTGTTGAGAAAGATTTCCTTGAAGAAAAAGGTATGAACTGACATAGTTATTTTAGAAAAGTGAAACTAATGGAGGAAATGTTCACTCTTTTCTGCTTATATATCCACTACATATATTTATGATTAAAACTATATATATATATGATTAAATAATTTTAAAAGATAAATTGAACATTTATTT